ATATACACAAAGGAACATTATCTTCTGTTCATACTTATGTTTACCTTTCTTTCATTTATTTCTGACACTTTTGCTCAGTATTTTTTCTACTCCTTGAGAATTTAACCCTAATATTGACAATACTTAGTTTCATATCTTCATATAGTAGAAACATTTAAGAAATACCAGCATGGAGTTTTAGGGAATATCATTCTCGGCACTGCTGCAGGCTGGACTTCATTGGCAAGACATCGGCAAGAAATTGTCAGCACTCAACCCATGTCCCAAGTTATGCTTTACGTTTTCCAATATTCAGATCTTTGGGATGCAAAGCCAAAATAACACTCTGGGTTTTAGGAATTGGTATATTTTTCTGTTATGATGTCCTTGCTTTCAACAGAATCAGTTCAAGCCGGTTCCGTCAAGCAGAAAAGTATAAGCCTACATTTTCACCAGCATTAATCCTTTGGCACTGCATAAGACTCCTTCCACAGGCCAAACCAATTCCTATTCTATGCGGGCTAGCTCAAAACCAGGGGGCAGCATCTAAAAGGTAAAACATGAAGTGCCTTGCTTATACAGGGTGGGGCAAAAGTAGGTTTACAGTTGTGATTACGTGAAGCAGAGTTAATTCTTGTATATTATTTGTTAGTTATTGAATAGTTTGTTAATTGTATTATTTCCCATACAAACAACTGTAAACTTACGTTTGCCCCGCCTTGAATATGCCTTTTGGCCATGCCCCGGAATTGGCCACTTGTTCCTTTGTGTCCCACTGAACTTGGCAGAGGTGTTTCTCTCAGCTGCTTTAATGCAGTTTCTTGTTTATATGTCTCTCTTCCCATGCGCATTGCCTTTGTATCCACAGCATCTAGTATAGTTCCTGGCTCATAGTAAATGCTTCATTCATGTTTGCGGAATGAGAACTCTGGAGTAAGAAGCAAGAAGTTAGCAAAATGATTGAACCAAGTACTAAGTGAAGTAATAACTATGGAGCGGTGGACTGATTGGGGGTGTGTCCTACAAGCTAACCTCTCAGGTCTCTTTCACATCAGGGATGGGTGTTGCCAGAAGTGTGAAGGCAGGAATGTGAAAGGTTTCAGATGGAAGACAATGGAAACTAGTCTGGTTGTCCCATCTTGGAGAGTAAAAAGAATTAAGTTTTGACATACCAAAGACTTAGAAACAATTAATAGAAACTGCTGAAAGTTAGAATTAAATAATTTAGAATTGATTTGAAAGCAATAGGATTGATCCAAATAATATTTTAAAGTTTTAATTAAATGGGTGTGTACTTATGTTACCTTTTATATGTATTAAACATCAGATTATGAAATATTGATTTTAGTCTGTGGGTCATCAGTTGAGCCTAAGGTTTCTTTCTTTCTCTTCTCATCCCGCAGGTTGTTATTTTATACTTTGAGCCGAGCACATTCCGTTGCATTCTCCTAAGATGGGTCCGTCTTCTCGGTTTTGCTACTGTTTATGGAACTGTCACTCTCAAGCTTCACAGGTTAGTATGTTTTTTTAGTTTTCATCCTCATGGGAGGATCAGAGTGTTTGGCTTAGCATGGAATTGCAAGCTGTGTCAGCCAATTAACTGGTTTAATTCCAAGGATTTAATAATAAGATGATCTATATTTTTTATTTTTGAGGCAATACATTTAGGATTCCTTAGGAAAATATTTAATATAGCTGAATTTGAATAACATGCTTTAATCAAATGTGCCATTGGTATTGGAAAGGTTAATTCTGAATAAAAATAAGTTTAGAATGAATGCAAAACGGTATGGACTAGCTAAGAACAGGAGTAAATACAGTTAAAATAATAATGCAGGTGCAGAGCTACCAAAGAACCTTATGTAATACAAATTAGTCATATGCTTATTTGACTAAAACTACTGTCCTCCATTCTCAAGTTCCCTGTCCCGGGGTAAGCCTGCTGATATTCTGTGGGCCAAATTGAAGAAAAAAATAGTGTTTCTAGCTCTCCTCCTTGACCAATATGTTCTAGTAAATTGGAGAATACAGTACTGTAAATTACCTTATACTTCATTTCAAAGCCACCTACATTTTAAAGTGTATATGACAAATATGAGGAATGAAGAAGTAATAAAATAAATTACTATCCACAAAAACTAGGGCTGGCTGGAAATGATTCCAGGGCCTCCCTTTGCTCCTCTTTCCACGTTTTCTCAATGTCGTGGTGCCAAAATCTTAGGACAGAAAATGTTTCTCCTGGAGGATAAAATTGTAGTCCTTTAGAGGAAACCCTTTATTCTGATCGTCTGTAAAGCTGATTCGACTACCACAATAAGCCACAATATGACCATAAGTTTTTCTCAATAAAAGTATTTTAATGTGGCTCACCCCACAATTTATCTTAGTTGCCCTAATATGTGTTATATTTGCCTTTAAATGTATCCCCTTCCAACTTTCTTTAAATGTGATTGTGTACTATCTACTACATGCTCTCCATTCTATTTCCTTTTGAAGAGGGCTGTACTTATTTACTGGGAATGTTTCAGATTATCTTTTTGGAAAAATTGTAAATATCCTTAACTCTCAATATATCAAATAGTACAAAGAATGTGGGATTGGATTTAAGGAATCATGCCCCTGAAATCTATATAATTGTATTGACCAATATCCCAATAAATTCAATAAAAAAGTTACAGAAATCATAGGCCCCTATTTCCTAGAAAAGGAAAAGATTAGAGCAATCTCTAATGTTCTTTCTGATGCCCACTTTATTCTTTCCACTTCACAGCACACTTAGCTCTTTTGTCCTTCTATCCTTCAAGTGCCTACCGATTTCCATTCCTCACATGAAAGCTATTTTTCAACTGGTGCTCATTCACAAAAGAGAGAAATTGACCACTTAACATAGACAATAAGACTTCTAGAAATTCTGAATGAATGGTTGGCCTGTTGAGACATGAAAATGACCTCTGTCCCTATGAGTCTAGCACTTAGCATTTATTGGGTTTGCTTATTTAATTATGCTCTTCATGTTTACCTAATTTATTTCCTTTTGGAAGCGTGGGTCTTACCATTGGATCCCCAGAGCACAGTGACTGACACATAGGAGGTCCTTAATACATATCACTTGATGAGTGAATGAATAAAATATCAGTTGCAGACTTAGAAGCTGCTTCTATCACTTCTCTACACATGTAGTACATCCATATTCCCTTACCTCACTGCATGTCCTCAAGTAACTGGAACACTATGGTTTGCAAGATGCGGTTTGGTGGGATGCAAATACAGTATTCAATAGCAGTGAATCGTGTAATGAGAAAACTACTTCTGTTCAGGTTCTCTTTCCATCCTTCTGATTATTTCCAGGAGAAAAATTAGTGTGGAGCTAGTAGGTCTTTAACACCTGCCAAGCAGTTGCTAATCTTCCTTTGCAACCAGGAGCAGATCAAGTCAGACTCAGAGCTTCCCAATGCAATGCTATCTAGATGAAGTTTATTAATTTTGTTTCATTGTATTTATTTGCATAGTTATTTTTCTATTTATAGGCTTTCAGTTTTTTATTGAAATTAGCAATATAGAGTTTTCTTTAAAATATTTTAAAGCAATAAATAAAAGTTGATTTAAAGTATATATTAGCTGGTGTGCAGATATAGAGAGAAATCTTGAGGGAGGTAAGCTGAGGAATAGAATTTAGGAAACTAGATTATTTCATCATTTTTTTGTTTATTTTAAAGACAATAAATAATCTCTTTTCTCTCTGTGTGTGTCTAGAAATCATTGCAGTGAAGAATTACCCAATTGTTGGCTTAAATCGATTAGAAACTCCTTCTAATTTAATGAGCTGAGTTATTCTTATCCTGTCAGAACCATATGGCTTTATATTATACTCTGTTCTTTTCTACATTGCTTAAATTTGTCTGATTCTTATATTAAGTCTATTAACTGAACAGTCAGCTTTTCAGAGGAATGTGAACAACCTGATGGAAGTGACTGGCTGAGCCAGCTTTGTATCCCCTGTTCTTTTTTTTTTTTTAATATATTTTATTGATTTTTTACAGAGAGGAAGGGAGAGAGATAGTCAGAAACGTCGATGAGAGAGAGACATCGATCAGCCGCCTCCTGCACATCCCCCACTGGGGATGTGCCCGCAACCCAGGTACATGCCCTTGACCGGAATCGAACCTGGGACCTTTCAGTCCGCAGGCCGACGCTCTATCCACTGAGCCAAACCGGTTTCGGCTGTATCCCCTGTTCTTAATGATGCACCTTGCACTTCTTATATACAGTTAACCCCTTGAACATTGCTAGGGTTAGGGACACTGACCCCATGAAGTTGAAAATTCAAGTATAACTCTTGACTCCACAAAAACTTAACTACTGATAGCCTACTGTTAACGGGAAGCCTTACCAATAACATAAAATCAATCAATACATATTTTGTATGTTATATGCATTATGTACTGTATCCTTACAGTAAAACAAGCTAGAGAAAGGAAAATATTAAGAAAATAATAAGAGAAAATACATTTACAGTATTTGATGAAAAAAAATCCAGCAATAAGTGGACCCATGCTCTATAAACCCATGTTGTTCAAGGGTCCATTGTATTCAGGGACTTGTTAAGTGAATAAAATGGGTGGATGGTCATAATGAATGGGACTACAAGGAATGTTCCTGGTTGGGGTCTCTCTGAGAGTCAAACAACCTATGTCCCTGAAGAATGAACTTCTATGATTTTGTAGTAATCCTAGAGGCCCAATGCATGAAATTCATGTATGGTGGGGGGCGGGGGGTCCTCTCAGCCCAGCCTGCACCCACTCCAATCTGGGACCCTTTGGGGGATGTCAGACTGCCGATCCTAGGGATCGGGCCTAAACCGGCAGTTGAACATCGTTGCCCCATGCAGCCTGCTGTTCAGTCATTTGGTCTTCCCTCACTAAACCCCCTGCAGGCCTGGTCACCCCACGCAGCCTGCTTATTCAGTCATTTGGTCGTCCCTCACTAACCGCCCCCCCCCCCACCGGCCTGGTCGTAGGCAGCCATCTTGTGAAGGCATGAGGGTTAATTTGCATGTTACCACTTTATTATATAGGATGAAAGGAAGACATAAATCCTAACAAGTCTGAATTTATATTCTAATTCTGCCATTAACTATCTCTTCAACCAAGAATAAATAACTTGAACATCTAAGAATCATTTTTTTTTCACCTCACCTCCAAGGTTATTATAAAGATTAAGCATGATGGGGATATATGTAAATATATCAAATTGGGGGTTTTATTGCAAACCACAGGTAGTGACTATGTCTAAATTAAGCAAAAAGCAAATTCATTAGAAAGATATGAGAAAGTCACAGAATTAAAGGGAAAGCTAAAGAACCAGGCTTTAGAGGACTTGACTCAAGGTAGATTGGGGGATCGGTAGCCTGAACAAAGATAATGTGTTGTGAATTCCATAGACTAATTTTCACCGGAATATCATTTCTTATTTCAAGATTTTTTTTTAAAATATATTTTATTGATTTTTTACAGAGAGGAAGGGAGAGGGATAGAAAGTTAGAAACATCGATGAAAGAGAACCATCGATCAACTGCCTCATGCACACCCCCTACTGGGTATGTGCCCGCAACCAAGGTACATGCTCTTGACCGGAATCGAACCTGGGACCCATGAGTCTGCAGGCCAACGCTCTATCCACTGAGCCAAACCGGTTAGGGCTTATTTCAAGATTTTTAAAAAAGTAAATCCTACCTCTCTAGGCAGAGAATTCTAAGGAAATTATCAGTAGTGATATATAAAATGACAGTTAAAGACCCTTGAGAATAGGGTAGATAAGAAAGACTTGGGTTTTCTTTTAGTTCACTGAAGGCTTAGTAAAATTATTGATCATTTCTTTCTTCATCTCCTGTTCTCTCACTGACTGATTGTAGTGTTTACAGAATCCCAGTAGCTCTGAAAACTTGAAGCAAATATGAAAAAAGAACAGGCCCTCACTCTGTCCCACAAATAATACTATTAGACATGGGAACTTTAAGGTTTCATTCACTTTTACCAAATCTCCCACTTTTGAGAGTCATACAGCCAAAGACTATCATGCTAATCCAAAGGAGAATTGCAAAAGAGCCCTTTGTTAATTAACAGTGCAATATGGGAGTGTGATAAGTTGGGGGAGGAGTGAGAGTGGCCCTCCCCTTCAGGGAGGAATATTTTATCACTGACATTTAGGTCACCATCCCATGGTGGTAATAAAAAGTAAACCAACTTTTAATTGTCTTTATTATTGCCTACATTATTTTACAGACAAATGGGCCACTTTACTACCTGTACCCAGGGCAAGTCATTCCCACTGCCCCACCTCATTGACAGGCCATTCATGTAAAACAATTTATTTTAAACTTATACTGTTTATTCCTCTTTGGAAAAGGAAAGAAGGAAGGTTTTAGTAACTCAATATGGATCATGAGGAAAAATAGACTGAAATAGGCAAAAATGAAGAAGGTTCATTTATAAAAGGGAATTTCATTCAGTAGCC